GAGAGAGAGAGAGAGAGAGAGAGAGAGAGAGAGAGCCCTACCACAATTTGCCACTTCGCAGTAATGAAGTCAGCTCAAAAGCGCCTCCTTCCAACCCCCCAACAAAAGTTTTTAAAAGTGGGAAAAGAAAATCAGGGGTGATTTTGACCCCAAAGCCCAGCAGAGGATTGGAGATAGAAAAGAACCAAGAAAAGGCTTTCGACCACCGAAAAACCTCCTGATCTTGTGGCCGGAGTCCTCCCTGCTCCAGATGGCGATTAGAATACATTTTCCCTCCTCCCTTGTCTTTCCATTGGTGCTATGTCTCCTAGACACCCAAATGGAACCTGTCCCTGCTCCACCACTGCATTTCTAGAAGCTGTTCCGAGTCTTTTTTCCACAGGGAGAACCATAAACCAAGCCCATGTCAGCTAGGACGTTGCTCCTTGAGCTCTCCCAAAGCAGGTGGATGAGAAGATATGGAGAATGCCCAGCTGAAGCCACCAGAGAAATCCCGGTTGATGGAATTCCACCACCGACATCATCGTTTGAAACCCTGGAGGCAGTTTAGAAACCGGTCCTGAAACTTGATACATGCCAACAACAAAGTAGAAAAAGCCCACAGATGTGATACTTACTGTGTTCCTTCTGGAGACCAAAGAAATAAGATGAAGACTTGTTCAAGTAAGTTTCTTTTATGGGCTCTTCTTAGCTTCTAGGAAGACAGCACTGTAGGGTGAAGAAGTAAATAAACAGGGTTACCTGGCCGACTCCTCTAATTTCCACCTTAACCTTGATATTTCAGGTGGAAAGCTTCTAATCTGATAGGGTGTGGACCATCTCTTTGAGTGTTGCCTGGTGGACATTCATGTAACTTGTGCTGTCTGCTTCCGCCTGACCAATGGTGGAAATGACACTTGGAGGGCATCACACTGATTTACAGAGTTGTCTGGTGCACATTCCTGTACCTTGTGCTGTCTGCTTCCACCCGACCAATGGTGAAAATGACACCTGGAGGGCATCACACTGATTTTTTAATGAAATGCCAGCAAAATCCCACTTAGTTGTCCTGATGCCTGTTGCAAAGTTATTTAAGAAGAGAACTTTTGGAAGGAGTCGATCAAATTCAACTAAAATACCACCCTGCTGGGGAAAAAAAATCAAGCTTGTTAGAAGTCTTAGAAATGAAATTAATTTCTGGCAGGAAAACCACTCACCTGTACAAAAAAAAGAGCCATTAGTTTTTCCCAGGAACATTTGGCATCATATAAATCAATTTTTTTAAAAAAAATAATAATAATAATCCAGTTTGATATTAGGGTCATAAATTTGTACACCAAGAGAAAAATTTCAGGGCGGAGCATGGAGATGTGGCTAAGAATTGGGGATGAGCTCCTGAGACGTGTGTTGAATAATAAGGAAGGAAGGAAAATAATTTTGCTAGTTTGCAACAGCAGGTGGAGCTCAAATGCTCTGTACAAACATTAAAAGAAAAGGACAATCAATCCAGAGAAACATCGACAGCAATGTGATTTTAATAGCATTAAAAATAGCGGTATTAAGGCTTCTTTGCAGTGATAGCGAAGTGCTTAGAAAATGCAGACCGACAGAAAACTGTCTTGTTTGTGTGTACGTGACAATTGTTGCATATGTATGTGGAATCACGAGGGGAACTCAGTTAATTCCGGTGCTCGCTTTTCAGATCCTTAGAAGAGTCTGTTAAAAGGAAGGAATACAAAGTGGGTTGATTTGACCAAAGTTAAAATAATTATATTATTATTATTACTGGTAACACTTAAAGGACTTTTGCTGATCGATGAGTTTTAAGAATTGGTTTATAAATAAGTGATGGGTAGAAGAGATCCTTTGTTATATTTTAAGAGAAGGTGATAAATTACTAAAATCCATTAAAAGGCAGCGAAAGAGGAAATCATTTCTTTATGTATTTCTTTTCCTTTTCTTTATTGTATTCTTCTTTCACTCTTCTTTCTATTCATTTCCCCCTTTCCTCGCACTTTCTATTTTTTAAAATAGTTTGTATTTATCTATTCAATTTTAATGTTTAATAAAATTATTATTTTAAAAAAGCTGACTTACGCCTGTCCTTGATGCTCACAGGTCTAGACAATATCCTCTTAGTGCTGGCATCTCATAATAATAAAGAAAAGGCTTGAATGTTTCCACCTTATTTTATTGCTTTTAAAAAAAAACTGTTTTGAGGGACTGGAAAACTCAAGAGATAATCACCAGTTTGTGGTACATACCATACAAGGTGAGATATTTTTCCTACTTAGCACATTGTTTAAGTGTTAAGTCAACTTGCCCTGTGGCTTAATCATTTCTGGATATTTTTGACCTGGAATGAGATCACCTTTCATTTCTACCAAATTTAGGGTGGGAAAATGCATCCTTCACAGAAACACCAACACTTCCCATCTTGATACAGTAGGGCATCTCCATTAAAGTTAATGAAGTTAGAGTAATTTTAAAGATTATTGCTTAGAACCGTGTAGAATATTTAATATTAGGTTTTGGGTAACCTTGGGCTGTTTCATTTCCGGAACCTGACTTATGAGAACGGTATAAAAAGTGTTTCTATCTTTCCAGGTTGCTCAGAAATTCGACTCTTTGTCTGTTGAACCCTTCTTGTGATCCTGGGTGAGTGTCTCCAAACCGCTGATGGTGAGAGGTGGTTGGCGGTTGGGTTTTGGGTGGCCTTCTGGAGTTTGGGAGGGATTCGGTTTGGAGGAAGACCCATTGAATTGGTCTTCCTT